TGGAAGTGGAAATGGGGAAGTCTGGTCTCCAGTTCACGTGGTGTGATCAGGCGTGGTTTTCCTGGGGACTGGAGGGTCTCCTTTCAAGATGGTGCACTCTTACGGCTGGCACGTGGGTGCCAGCTATTACCTGGTTGCTCAGCCAGAGCTGCCCCAGGCCTTGGTTCTTCCCCATGTGGGCCTCTCTGTGTTTTATAGCATGCTGTGTGGGCTCCAGGGAGGAGTGTCCCCAGAAATAGAGCCATGTGAAAGCTGTGTTGAATTTTCTCCCATATCACGTGGGTTACTTTGGCCATATTCTAGTAGTAGGGAGAGTCACAAAAGCTCACACAGTTTTGAAGGGGAGGGGACACAGACTCTGTCTCTTGATGGAGTGGCAAGGTTCTGGAAGAGCACGGATGGGAAATATTATGACTATTCCGGAAAGTTCAACAAACCACATGTGTCATGCCTTGGAGTGGGCCTGGCCATGTGAATGGCAAGGCCAGTTCTCTCTCTGGTCTCTTACTCAGCTTTGCTTGGACATTTGTTTCATTCCCTTCTCTCCCTGTAGGCCAGTCATTTCTGTTCGTTGGTCCCCAGAGCAGGTCCCGACAGCCTCCAAGCCGATGAGCATTTGTGTTACAGTTTTTACTGAGACAGACTCTCTGGTTTACAGTTCTCAGGAGGGGAAGCCTAAGTGCCCCAGTCAGAGTGGGTGTTTGTTCCTGCATCAATCAGCATGGCCAACGTCACTGTCATGAAGCAGAAATAAGGCATTAAAAGCACCTCTGTGGAAATGGGCACGCATTTTGACGAATGTCTACCATAGGGTCTCATAGCCACAGTGACTTGTGAACGGGACAGGGTAGCAGACTCTTTGCAGGGTTGCTGACCTCCCTAGGATGACCAGTGAAGGAATGGGTTGCTGAGGTTGGAGCAGGGATGGAGGGCTTATGCGCAGAGTTTACGTGGTTGTTCTCTGGCCCTGGCAGAGCAAACAGGAAGAAATGAGCTAAGTTAAAATTAAATAGTCTTTGACTAGGATTTGATGATGTGGACGAGACCATCTGGTCTACCCCTTCCAACTCCAATCAGGTAAAATAGTTATATTCCCAGATGTGAAGACTGAAGGACTATAATTAGCTAGTGACTGAGAAAGGGAATAGAAAACAAGTTCTCTTGCTTCTTGCTATATTTTTTCCTCTATATGGACAACTCTCTTGGTATCTTGAACAGGCTAACAATATAATACAAGAAAAAGAATAACATCTAAGAAAGGCTGTGCTTACTGTAAACAGGTTCTCTGATGATCACCCTAGGGAAGCAGGTATTATTACTACCCCAATTTACAGATGAGAGTTGAAATAGCTTGTCTAAGGTCATAGTTAATAAACAGAAAAACTAAGTTTGAACCCAGTCTGGCCTTACAGCCTGAACATTTAACCTTGAAACCATTAATACTTTTGCAACCACAGGCATTTAGAAGGACTCCCATGTCCTCAATCTCTGCTGAGAGATCAGACTTGTCATTGCTATGTGACTCACATATCTTGTCATGTGACTCCTTCTAGTTACATATCTTGTCATGTGATTCCTTCTAGTTAGCTGATTGGACCAGAGGAAAGCACCTGGCCCAAGAACAGGCAATTCATTGGCTAGCTGGTAGCCTATGGGGGAATGTGGCCTGAAAGTTTCCCAACAGGGATAATGATGACAAAGTTATTAGATGCCATATTCTCTTCTTTAGAATTTGAACTGGAGACATAGAAACGGGGAGTCAAGTAGTTAGCAATGGTGATACCATCACAGTAGTCAAACCCTACAGAAGGTAAAGAGAACGTGGGTGCTTAAGTTGTCTGGGGCCATGGTCCTTCTTTTATTTTTGTTACTTTCAGCCTCTGGAAAGCTAGGATTTGGGGTTGTCCTAGGTCTCTTGTGAGAATTCTCTTCCTCACTAATTCAAATTCCTTAAAGTAACTCCCTCTTACTGGAGACACCCCCAAATGAGCCCGGCTGGGGTCCTTGCCAGAGGACACATTCAAGGCAGTTAGACTTTTGTTGTACAAAGAAACAACTCAATCATTAGATGAGAATGAAATGTTTGATTTGCCTTGTTAAGGGTGAGAAGCTAAACAAGTCGATCCTGCTGGCTCTGGTACCCTGTGATCCACTGATGTGGGCTTGTCTGGAAATAGGATGATTCTGCAGGTGTATCATTGATCTCATCCAAGTGAACTGTAGCACCTATGAGTACTGTATGAATTATAACTGCTTCTATGCAATATTCGGCAAGACTGTTTGGGTTCTACATGATAGAAACTCAGCTCAAACAAACTTAAGCAAAATGCAAAAAAAGAAATCAACCAATCAATTAATCTATTGGGGTCTGGTTCAGACACAGCAGTATCTCAACCAGTGCTGCCTGATAGAGTGTTCTGTGATAATAGGACAGTTTTGTATCTGTGCTCTACAGAACAGTAGCCACTAGCCATGTGTGAATACTGAAACTGTGGCTAGTATGACTGAGGAACTGAACTTTGCTTTTCATTTCATTTTCATTAATTTAAATTTCAATAGCTATATGTGGCTAATGGCTACTGTATTGGACAGTTATCCCACTCTCTTGGGGGTGCTCTGACTGGCTCTTCTTAGCTTGAGGGTCCACACCCACACCAACCATCTGCGTGGAGCTCGGGAGCACAGCCCAGGGCTGGGTCACATGTCTGACTCTGGGAGCAAGGCTCACCTCATCTGAACCACATGAGATGGATACCTCATGGAAAGAGGATTTCTATATCAGAAGAGGAAAGAGTGCAATTTGGGCTGGCAAAAACTCTCCCCCACAGCTCGCCCCAACGTGCCATGTGCCTTGCTGAAGGGAAGACGGGGTGAGATAGCAATAATGAGCATTCACTCCTTGAACACTCATCGAGACTGGGTACTGTTCGCTGCTGGGATGCAAACCCAGAAGTCCTGACAACCACGAGAAAGACAGACCCTGCTTCTTCCCAGCCTAAGAGGGGAAGCCGTCTCCTGAAGATAGTCATAAAATGGGGGAAAAATGCCAAAGTAAAAATGGATGAACACATTGTTATCAAAACCACTCATTTTTGTCTTCATTTAGCAAAAAAGCAAGCTTTGATTTTCCATAGTTTGCAAGCTGCTGATGTGGAGAAGTGACCTCTGTGTATTCTTCCCTCCTGAAGGGAGCATTAAGAAATTGCTTTAGTCCTAATTTGGGGGGGGGGGGGTGGAGATGGGCTAAAAAAATCAGAAAACAAAGTCTAGTCTCAGAGAGGGGCCAGAGTCTGGCTGATGGCTAGGCATGAGTTGTCTAAAAATAGTGAAGCTGATTAATGAATGTCTAAAACAGAGAGCAAACTGGAGGATGAAACCAGACAGCCGACATGTGCTTCTTGGGGACTTTGCACTCCTTCAGAGAATTGCTCAAAACAAGGTTACTCAAGAGCTTGGCGGGCGCACCCACCGCTCCGCTGCGCTGGAGAGGAGGCACTTCTTGGTAACGCCTGGCTGATGGTGGTGGGGTGTGGAGGGCTGGCCTCCAATGCCCTCGGCCTTCTCTCCCTATCTCAATCTTGCCTGGTCAGTGCCCAGCAGCACCTGCCTCCTCCTACCAAGCCTTCTCTAGGGTTAGGGTGGGGCCACTCAGCATCCAGCCGGGAGCCAGGTCTGAGCCCTGCCTCCAGTGTGCTCTGTGACCTGGAGGTTTCACCCACCCTCTCTGGGCTTTAGATTCTCCATCTCCTGGAAACCTGACCTGTGGCATGAGCATCCCTAGCAGTGGAATGTCAGAATAATGCTTCTGCTTATTGAGGAATGCTTATTGACTGTTATGCCATTTAATCCTCCCATCAAGCCTATGGGTCCTTACTAGCTTCAGTTTACAGGTAGGAGAACTGAGGCACACTGATGTTGAGAGCTTACGCAAGGCCACGAGGCTCGTACATGGAGAATGCAATTGGAATCCAGAGTCCATGTGTTCAACCACTACCCACACTGCTCTCGTGTGTCCCTCCAGATGCCCTGCAGCTAGATGGTATCCATATCCCCATTTTGTGGGTGGAATGGCAGATGTCTAGCTGGTTGAGAGAAATAACTGGCAAGATGGTTGGGGATCTGGGGCCTGGAACCAGGCCTGGGCTCTTGCTTCTACATCTGTGAAAAGCAGAGTCATCCTTACCCTGCCTCATTACAGCCCTGTGCTGGGCTTCTGCGTGCCCACCCCGTGGCAGCCTCCCATAGCACTCAGAGGTGGAGAATGCCAGGAACTCTTCCCAGGTCACCCAGAGGGTGCTAAGAGGGGATGGAGTCAGGGTTCGGGCCCAAGTCTGTTTGGTTCCAAAGCCTCTCAGTGTCTCTCTATTTACAGCACGAGGGGAAAACAAGCAATGCCTTCTACCAGGGGAAGGTGGCTGGGTTCTAAAATCAGCCTCAGGGATTTCTCTGGGGGGTGGTAGGGTGGGTGCACAGGCGTCAGTGATGTCCCCTTGTGGTCCTGTCCCCCAGCGAATGCTAAGAGAAGGTCTTTATGGATGACAGAGCAGAGAGGAGAGGAGTGAGGACGGCAGACCACGGACAGACAAACTGTGGTCACCACACTGAGGGAGGGGGGCTGCAGTGCCCACTGGGCTCTGCTGTTCCTGTCCTCACCTGCTGGTTGGCGTGAGCTGGTCAGCCAGGCTGTACAGGCCTCCAGGTCCCCTGCAGCCACCACGAGTTTCAAAGTCCCTTCTCTTCTGGGTGACACATGTCACTTTCTGCCCAGCACCTAACCCCACCCTCTGATTTTTCTATTTTGAAGCTCCTTCATCTGCAGAGAGAATTCACTCTGTCTCCTGAGGACACTAAAACCTGGAACAAACAGTCTCTGATAATAAATGCCCTTTTTTTGGCAGGGATCAAAAGCTCCCCAGGCACTTTCAAAAGCGAGCCAGGGCACTTTGGCGACCCTGCACGGTCCAGAATGCTGACTGGCTCAGGAGGGAGGGAGCTAGGAGAGTTTGGCTCTGGGGTTTCCAGGCCCTTCCTGGAGGAAGCATGTACCCTGCCGAGCAGAGGGCAGCAGAGTGGAAAGAGGCTGAATTCCAGGTTCCCTGGGGCAGAGTGGCAGGAACGTGTCTCTCGCTTCCCCCAGCAGAGTTCCTTCCAGAGGCAGCTGGGCCCGGCCTGGGTGGCTCTAGCTGGACAAAGGTGGCAGCCTTTGGCATTGATGGGCACATCTGGATGGTAGTGTTTGGCCTCCTGGGCAGTTCCTGGGCTTGGAGGGATCTCTGAAGGCTGAGTGTTCCCGTGGCCGCAGGCCCGAGATGGGGGCTTCCAAATGAGACGAATACCAGCTTCCTCCTAAAATATCCTCAGCAGGTAAGGAGTGAGGAGGTCAGCCAGCTGCCACCAGTGTGGTTTGGCTTCACATCCAGCATGTACCTGTGTGTCTCATTCCTCCCCTGACAGCTGGACTCCCCTGAGGTGGGGTGGTGGGCAGGGCACGGTGCGTGGGACGATACCCCTCTACCCAGAATACCCTTCCTTTGTCCACTATGGAAATCACCCTCGGCTGTGGCGTGGTGGGTACAGGCATGACCTCTGGAGCTCGGCAGTCCGGGGTTCACATTTGTGATCCTCAGACAAAGTAACTCTGGGTCATGCAGGGTCACACCTCCAACCTCAGTCACCAGGTCAGCTGAATAGGGGTGTTAAGGTAGTTCAGCCTTACCCCGGATTGTTGTGAGGGTTCGGAGAGACAGTGCTTTCTCAGCACGCTGCTGGGACTTGCACAGTGCTCAGTCCATGTTACCTGGGAGTAGTAATAGCAGACATCACTGAGGGAGCAACTGAGTGTCCAGCGTTTGGTCAGGAAGCCGGAGAAAATCCTGGCAGCTTCAGCCTTGTACCCTCCTCCTCTCTCAGCTTCCCTAGAATCTTGAAAACAAAGTGTCCCTTTCTTTGGTTAGAGAGCCAGTTGCTCTGGGCCTCACAGGGGCAGCCAGCCCCCAGACCCCTCAGCGGGAGTCCCCCTGGTAGACAAGGCCTCAAGGTGACCTTTCACCTTTTGGCCTCTGGGTGAAGGACCATTAACCAAACTGCCGTCCCCAGTCTTTTGTGGAAGGGAGGCCTTTGTCCAACAGCCCTCTGAAAAGAAAACATGTGCAGTGATGGCTTCTGTCTCTGGACTGCCTCTGAGCATTGTGCCGCCATCTTTGTTTGCCTAGCTTTATAATTCATAAAATTCTTTCATGTGAGCAATCGCATTGGGTGTTCAGAGAGGTTATGTGTCTTGCCCGAGGTCACCCTGAGTAACTGGCTGAGACAGGCTTGGTTCCTAGTCTTCTGATTTTCTACCTCATCTCCATCAATTCTATCAGTTTTCCAGGTGAGAGGTGGGAGGGCTTGGGATTTAGAAGGAGAGTTTAGATTTTTCCCCCACATTTAAAAAAAGATTTTATTTACTTATTTTTAGAGAGAGGGGAAGGGAAGGAGAAAGAGAGAGAGGTAAGCATCAATGTGTGGTTGCCTCTCATGTGCCCCATCCTGGGGACCTGGCCTGTAACCCAGGCATGTGCCCTGACGGAATCAAACCAGCAATGCTTTGGTTTGCAGGCCAGCACTCAATGCACTGAGCCACACCAGCCAGGCCCCCCCCACCCTTCCTCCCTATTTTACTAGATAGGATTTCTAGATAAAGCTAAAGGGAAGAGAGCTACTATTTGTATTTATTGAGCTCCTTCTTCTGCTGGACACTTTATATAAGTTATCACATTGGCTCCAATTTAGTCTTCTTGGGAAACACTTGAGATGGGGGTTTCTACTGTTTGCAAAGGAGGAAATGAATATCAAGAGGCCAAGGAATCTACCCAAGGTCACAGAGCCACTGAGAGGGGGAGCAGCAATTTGTACCTCGATCTCCCCGACACTCCCGTGCACTGGATTGTGGTGGGCTCTCACATGCACAGCACTCAGGAACAACTTGATGTAGGCCTGGGATTGTACTGTTTTTGCAGCAGCAAGGTTAACGCAGGGATGTGGGCAGTTGGATATGGTTTGGGGGAGAGCTCAGGCTTTGGAACCCAGCAGACTCAGATCCTGGTTCTGTGGTGGCACAGCTGTGAGCCTTGAGCAAACTGTCAGACACCATCTGCCCAATGGGAGAAGTGTTCCCTGGCTTGCAGGGTTGCTAATCACGTAAATCAACTGTGCTCAAGAATGGTAGCCCTGTTGTTCCTGGGAGAGCGGAAGAGAAAGCAAAATGAGCAGGGGCTCAGGAAACCACTTTGCTTTTTTCTCCTCCTTTCCCTCCACACTTCTCACCCACCCTCAGTGTGCTACAGATGCAACAAACTACCCCATGTGTCTTCAGTAATATGCTCTGCTGTGCACAGACGGTAGCAAGGGTTTTATTCTGAGTTACAGACATGCCACTATCTACACAGGGACATGGGGTCAAAGGAATGAAGTGCCTGCCCATCTCCTGTCCAGCAGTAAAACATGCAACCCCAAAGGCTAGGAAGAGTCTAGCAATGAATGCTTGTGAATATGAATGAATGCCTTAGGGCACCCGGCATCAGCACCGACGTAATTCAGTCCAACAAATATGTAATGGTTCCTTATTCTGAGCCAGGAAATTCCAACTGTATCAGTTAGGAGTAGGTTCAGCTGCAAGTAAAGAGACCTCAAGTAGCAGTAACTTAAACAAGATGCCATTTATTTCCTCTCTTCCATAAAAGTCCAGAGGCAGATGGTCCAGGCTTGATCTGGGGGCTCTGCTCTAGGAAGCCCTGGTGGATTTAGGCCCCTTCAATCCTATTGGTGCACCAAGTATGCTCTCCAGTCCCAATGTCACCTGGTGGTCTGAGGTGCCAGCTCCAGCCGTCATGTCTGTGAGCAGCAGGAAAATGGATGAGATGAAGAAGAAAGGCTGAGTGTACACCAGCATTCTCTTAGTGATGATACTTCTGCCTAGATGCCATGGGCCAAGTTTGGTCACAGGACCCACTCTTAGCAGCAAGGGGAAGCTGGGTGGCTACAAGCCCAGCTGAAAACTGGGATCTCTAGTACTATGAAAAAAGGTGGCCATTAGCATTATACAGCACTGATATGTATAAGCTTTTATAATAGATTAGACACTATATTTTACCTTCTTTGTCTCAACAACTCAGCCATTGGACTCACTTCATCCCCTTTATAAAAATGAGAAAACCAATCATCAGAAAGATTACATAATAAGTTCTAGGTCACCCAGAAAGGAAATTATAAAGCTTGGCTTCAAGGAAAGGCCAGTCTGACTCTCAGACCTGTGCTGCTACCTTTTCTATAAGGCTGGTGCTCAGGGTCGAAGATGGTCCAGATGATAGGACAGCTTCTCTCCCCAGCATTATTTAAGAAATGATACCACCGCTATTTTGTAGCTTTTCAGAATAAAAGGAGGTGACTAATAAAGATTTCAGATGCTATTATGGGTTGACTATGTTGCCTCCAGATTCATATGTTGATGTTCTAACCCCTGCTACTTCAGAATGTGATCTTATTTGGGAATAGGGTCCTGCAGATGTGACTAGTGAAGTGGGGATGATGTCATACTGGGTTAAGAAATAGCCCTTAGGTTTATATGACTGGTGCCCTTAAAAGAAGATGGCCATGTAAAGACACAGAGGTATGGGGGGAACACCATGTGAGGATGAAGGCAGAGATCATGGTGATGCCACAGAAGCCAAGGAATGCCAGAGGTTGCCAGCCAATCACCAGAATGGGGGAGACATGAAATAGATTTCTTCATGAAAGCAACTGGCCATGTTAACACCTTGACCTTGGCTTTCTGGTCTCCAGAACAATAAATTATTGGTGTGCAAGCCACCCAGTCTATGGTAATTTGTTATGGCAGCCCTAGCAAACGAATACAGATGCAATGTTTGGTCCACTGCTTCATCATAGATATTATTTCAGATGTGTGTGAAAGTGTGTCAGATTCAGAAAGGGGGTACTTTGACTTTTCCTGTAAAGGGACCAGGCCCTTTCCTCTGGGCTGTTCCCAGGTCTTACCTAGGGCCATCAGGTTCCACCCAACTTTTTGTGAATCCCTTTGAATGTTCCAGGCACTGAGCTACATGCACAGCCCAAAGAAACCCGACTAGACTTAGAAGAACTCAGGGTGCTATACTTAACACAAAGGAAAGCCTAGGTCTTGGCACCGGGCCTCTCTATTTTAAGCTCAGACATTCCTGGTCGCTGGCTCCTTCATCGCCTTGGCATTGGGTAGGGTGAGAAGGACAGGCCCCAGTTAGCTCAGCTCCTCTGCCAGATGAGATCAATGAGCCCAGTGGAGGCCGGAGTGCAAAGACCAAGACCTCTCCTGGTGGGTGGGCGGTGAGCCGAGTTGTCTTGGTATTTGAATTGCTTCATCTGTGGCTACTTATCACACAGGGTTAGAGTGTTGTACACTCAAGAAGCCAGTGTCCTGTGTGCTGGGGACTGGTCGGAGTGTCCTGCCTGCGAGTGCAGCCAGCACTCCTGACCCAAGTGGCTGTTTTCCAGGAGAGTCTGTGCGCTGCTGTGGCACTTGTTTGCTTCGAGTTTCAGATCTGTCCCATCGCCCTGACTCTATCACATGGCCTGGGGTGTGTGTGCGCTGGGAGGACACAGATTAGATTTCCTCTTCGTAAGAATAGCTAGTACTCCCGCAACTCAACAACAAAACCAAACAAACAACCAGGCTTAAAAAATAGGCAAAAGACTTGAATAGATTTTCTCCAAAGAAGATACACAGGTGGCCAGTAAGAATACAGAGAGATGGTTAACCTCACTGATCATTAGTAAAATGCAAATCAAAACCACAAGAAGACACTATATCACACCTATTAGAATGGCAGTTACAGAAGGTGACAGATGGCGATGAGGATGTTGAGAAATTGGAACTTGCATGCACTGCTGGTGGGAACGTAAAATGGTGCCGCCACTCTGGGAAAACAGTATGGCGGTTCCTCCAAATATTAAACATGGAATAACCACGTGATCCAGTAATTCCATTTCTGGGTACATTCCCAAAATCATGAAAAGCAAAGACTCAAACAGATATTTATACCTGTGTATATAGCAGCGTAAGTCACCATAGCCCAAAGGTGGAACCAGCCCAACTGGACAAAAATGGTATGTGCATCCAATGGGACATTAACATTCAGCCTTAACAGGGATAAGATTGACACACGCTGCAGTGTGGATGAACCTTGAGTACATTATGCTAAGTGACATAAATCAGACACAAGGAGCAAATACAGGGCATGGCAACAGTAGGTTTACAGTTGTGAGAACACAAAACAGAGTTTATCCTTGTATTATTTCTTAATTATTGCATTGTTTTCCATATGAACGAC